AGACTGGAATATCTGCTCTCTTTCTGTACATATATTTTTTGTGGTATTATTGCATAAAGTACTTTGTTCACGAACCAGTTTCTAGAACTGAACGCAACTCAATGAAACGAACTAAAAAGCACATCACTGCTTCATATAATCCAAGGAGGGAGAAATTGTCATTTCATCACACCAGTGATGGGAGAATCGAAAGCCTGAGATTATAGTGTTTTCTTCTGATAAAACTAGCGCAGTTTTTGTGTTTAGTTAATACCGTTGATCCTAAATTTGTTTCCAAAACAACATTAAACAACTCTCATGTAGTGCCGCGTGCCGTAATGTCAATGAAGCATATTTTTCGTTTCTTTGTCCTTTCCGTGTTACTATGATGAATCATCGAAAAAATAATAATAGTAAACCACGATCGAACAGCACGGCTGCATTCAAAGATGGAAATCAAAGCAGAAGACAGTAGACAACACCAGTCCGAGTTGCTTCAAGTTCTGTACGTTCCTACAATGAGTGAAAAACTAGTTCAAAATATGCACCAAAAAAACATGAATATATACATTGGTTCTGTTATAAAAATTTGAAATATGCACCAGTCCAACACTGGTTTCACTGGAAGAAAACGCGATTGAATAACTTGGTAGACTTTCCGAAAATAACATTCTTTGCTGTTGTTATTCTCGGTAGTGCCTTATCTCACAAGGTATACATGAAATTATTGCTAAGCGTATAATAATTATGATATTCATATTGAGTAACTATGTTGCAAACTTCATACTTGAATAAGTTTGATAAGAAAAAAGTAATGTTTATGGTTTTCCGTTACTACTAGGTTCGCATGCATGACTTGTTCATATTATCATATTTAAGAATATTGATATTCGTGTCATACACAGGCTATTGTTTTTTAACCGATAAATATAACTAACAAACCCGCATTATATAATTTCGTTCAAGTTAAAAATATTTTTCAGACCACGGTACAGTGTTGCCGAAACGGAAAGCACGAAATCGGTAGATAGTATCGTTGAAATTCGGTAGATTTAAGGACAAAATAAAAAAAAGGAAAATATTATTTCCAAAATTGATCTGGCACTTTATATCTGCAAACTACAACCTCAAGAAGTACATCAGCTTATTTGATGACTTTGTGGTGATTGTACAGTATATGAAAAGAGTTTCCTGCCTGATCGATCATTGCAGTCTCCCACTTAGATGAGGCGAAACTTTTATTTCCAAAATTATTCTGGCACTTTATATCTGCAAACTTCAAGCTTAAGAAGTACATCAGCTTCCTTGATGACATTGTTGTGGTTGTACAGTACGTGAGTGGGGGTTTCCTGTCTGATCGGCTATTGCAGTCTCCCACTTAGATGAGGCGAAAATATTATTTCCAAAATTATTCTGGCACTTTATATCTGCAAACTAAAAGCTAGAGAAGTACATCAGCTTCCTTGTTGACATTGTTGTGGTTGTACAGTACGTGTATAGGGTTTGTTGCCTGATTGATCATTGCAGTCTCCCACTAGATGACACGAAAATTTTACTTCCAAAATTATTCTGACACTTTATATCTGCAAACTAAAAGCTTAAGAAGTACATCAGCTTCCTGGATGACATTGTTGAGGTTGTACAGTACGTGAATAGGGTTTGCTGCCTGATCGATCATTGCAGTCTCCCACTTAGATGAGGCGAAAATATTATTTCCAAATTTATTCCGGCACTTTATATCTGCAAACTACAAACCTAGGAAGTACATCAGCTTCCTTGATGACATTTTTGTGGTTGTACATTACCTGTATAGGGTTTGTTGCCTGATTGATCATTGCAGTCTCCCACTTAGATGAGGCGAAAATGTTATTTCCAGAATTATTCTGGCACTTTATATCTGCAAACTACAAATCTAGGAAGTACATCAGCTTCATTGATGACATTTTTTTGGTTGTACACTACGTGTATAGGGTTTGTTGCCTGATTGATCATTGAAGTCTCCCACTAGATGAGACGAAAATTTTACATCCAAAATTATTCTGACACTTTATATCTGCAAACTAAAAGCTTAAGAAGTACATCAGCTTCCTTGTAAAAATTGTTGTGGTTGTACAATACGTGTATAGGGTTTGATGCCTGATTGATGATTGCAGTCTCCCACTAGATGATGCGAAAATATTATTTCCAAAATTATTCTGGCGCTTCATATCTGCAAACTACAAGCTTAAGAAGTACATCAGCTTCCTGGATGATATTGTTGCGGCTGTACAGTACGTGAATAGGGTTTGCTGCCTGATCGATAATTGCAGTCTCCCACTAGATAAGGCGAAAATATTATTTCCAAAATTATTCTGGCACTTTATACCTGTAAAATACAAGCTTAAGAAGTACATCAGCTTCCTTGATGACATTGTTGTGGTTGTACAGTACGTGATCAGGATATCTTGCCTGATCGATAATTGCAGTCTCCCACTAGATAAGGCGAAAATATTATTTCCAAAATTATTCTGGCACTTTATACCTGTAAAATACAAGCTTAAGAAGTACATCAGCTTCCTTGATGACATTGTTGTGGTTGTACAGTACGTGATCAGGATATCTTGCCTGATCGATCATTGCAGTCTCCCACTAGATGAGGCGAACATATTATTTCCAAAATTATTCTGGCACTTTATATCTGAAAACTAAAAGCTTAAGAAGTACATCAGCTTCCTTGTAAAAATTGTTGTGGTTGTACAATACGTGTATAGGGTTTGATGCCTGATTGATCATTGCAGTCTCCCACTAGATGATGCGTAAATATTATTTCCAAAATTATTCTGGCACTTTATATCTGCAAACTAAAAGCTAGAGAAGTACATCAGCTTCCTTGTTGACATTGTTGTGGTTGTACAGTACGTGTATAGGGTTTGTTGCCTGATTGGTCATTGCAGTCTCCCACTTAGATGAGGCGAAAATATTATTTCCAAAATTATTCTGACACTTTATATCTGCAAACTAAAAGCTTAAGAAGTACATCAGCTTCCTGGATGACATTGTTGCGGTTGTACAGTACGTGAATAGGGTTTGCTGCCTGATCGATCATTGCAGTCTCCCACTTAGATGAGGCGAAAATATTATTTCCAAAAGTATTCTGACACTTTATATCTGCAAACTAAAAGCTTAAGAAGTACATCAGCTTCCTGGATGACATTGTTGCGGCTGTACAGTACGTGAATAGGGTTTGCTGCCTGATCGATCATTGCAGTCTCCCACTTAGATGAGGCAAATATATTATTTCCAAAATTATTCTGGCACTTCATATCTGCAAACTACAAACCTAGGAAGTACATCAGCTTCCTTGATGACATTGTTGTGGTTGTACAGTACGTGAGTGGGGGTTTCCTGTCTGATCGGCTATTACAGTCTCCCACTTAGATGAGGCGAAATTATTATTTCCAAAATTATTCTGGCACGTTAAATCTGCAAACTAAAAGCTAGAGAAGTACATCGCTTCCTTGTTGACATTGTTGTGGTTGTACAGTACGTGTATAGGGTTTGTTGCCTGATTGATCATTGCAGTCTCCCACTAGATGAGACGAAAATTTTACATCCAAAATTATTCTGACACTTTATATCTGCAAACTAAAAGCTTAAGAGGTACATCAGCTTCCTGGATGACATTGTTGCGGTTGTACAGTACGTGAATAGGGTTAGCTGCCTGATTGATCATTGCAGTCTCTCACTTAGATGAGATGAAAATATTATTTCCAAAATTATTCTGGCACTTTATATCTGCAAACTACAAACCTAGGAAGTACATCAGCTTCCTTGATGACATTTTTGTGGTTGTACACTACGTGTATAGGGTTTGTTGCCTGATTGATCATTGCAGTCTCCCACTAGATGATGCGAAAATATTTCCAAAATTATTCTGACACTTTATATCTGCAAACTACAAACCTAGGAAGGACATCAGCTTCCTTGATGACATTTTTGTGGTTGCACACTACGTGTATAGGGTTTGTTGCCTGATTGATCATTGCAGTCTCCCACTAGATGATGCGAAAATATTATTTCCAAAATTATTCTGGCACTTTATATCTGGAAACTACAAGCTTAAGAAGTACATCAGCTTCCTTGATGACATTGTTGTGGTTGTACAGTACGTGAGTGGGGGTTTTCTGTCTGATCGGCTATTGCAGTCTCCCACTTAGATGAGGCGTAAATACTATTATTTCCAAAATTATTCTGGCACTTTATATCTACAAACTAAAAGCTAGAGAAGTACATCAGCTTCCTTGTTGAGATTGTTGTGGTTGTACAGTACGTGTATAGGGTTTGTTGCCTGATTGATCATTGCAGTTTCCCACTAGATGAGACGAAAATTTTCCTTCCAAAATTATTCAGACACTTTATATCTGCAAACTAAAAGCGTACATCAGCTTCCTGGATGACATTGTTGCGGCTGTACAGTACGTGAATAGGGTTTGCTGCCTGATCGATCATTGCAGTCTCTCACTTAGATGAGGCGAAAATATTATTTCCAAAATTATTCTGGCACTTTATATCTGCAAACTACAAGCTTAAGAAGTACATCAGCTTCCTTGATGACAGTGTTGTGGTTGTACAGTACGTGAGTGGGGGTTTCCTGTCTGATCGGCTATTGCAGTATCCCACTTAGATGAGGCGTAAATATTATTTCCAAAATTATTCTGGCACTTTATATCTGCAAACTAAAAGCTAGAGAAGTACATCAGCTTCCTTGTTGACATTGTTGTGGTTGTACATTACGTGAATAGGGTTTGTTGCCTGATCGATCATTGCAGTCTCTCACTTAGATGAGGCGAAAATTTTATTTCCAAAATTATTCTGACATTTTATATCTGCAAACTACAAGCTTAAGGTGTACATCAGCTGCTTTGTTGACATTGTTGTGGTTGTACAGTACGTGAATAGGGTTTCCTGGCTGATCGATCATTGCAGTCTTCCACTAGATGAGACGAAAATATTATTTACAAAATTATTCTGGCACTTTATAGCTGAAAACTACAAGCTTAAGAAGTACATCAGCTTCCCTGATGACATTGTTGTGGGTGTAGAGTACGTGAAGAGAGTTTGCTGCCTGATCGATCATTGCAGTCTTCCACTAGATGAGGGGAAAATATTATCTCAAAAATTATTCTGGCACTTTATATCTGCAAACTACAAGCTTAAGAAGTACATCAGCTTCGTTGATGACATTGTTGTGGTTGTACAGTACGTGAATAGGGTTTGTTGCCTGATCGATCATTGCAGTCTCCCACTTAGATGAGGCGAAAATTTTATTTCCAAAATTATTCTGGTACTTTATATCTGCAAACTACAAGCTTAAGAAGTACATCAGCTTCGTTGATGACATTGTTGTGGTTGTACAGTACGTGAATAGGGTTTGTTGCCTGATCGATCATTGCAGTCTCTCACTTAGATGAGGCGAAAATTTTATTTCCAAAATTATTCTGACATTTTATATCTGCAAACTACAAGCTTAAGGTGTACATCAGCTGCTTTGTTGACATTGTTGTGGTTGTACAGTACGTGAATAGGGTTTCCTGGCTGATCGATCATTGCAGTCTTCCACTAGATGAGACGAAAATATTATTTACAAAATTATTCTGACACTTTATATCTGCAAACTAAAAGCTTAAGAAGTACATCAGCTTCCTGGATGACATTGTTACGGCTGTACAGTACGTGATGGGGTTTGCTGCCTGATCGATCATTGCAGTCTCCCACTTAGATGAGGCGAAAATATTATTTCCAAAATTATTTTGGCACTTTAAATCTGCAAACTAAAAGCTAGAGGTGCATCAGCTTCCTTGTAAAAATTGTTGTGGTTGTACAGTACGTGTATAGGGTTTGCTGCCTGATTGATCATTGCAGTCTCCCACTAGATGAAGCGAAAATTTTACTTCCAAAATTATTCTGACACTTTATATCTGCAAACTAAAAGCTTAAGAAGTACATCAGCTTCCTGGATGACATTGTTGCGGCTGTACAGTACGTGAATAGGGTTTGCTGCCTGATCAATCATTGCAGTCTCCCACTTAGATGAGGCGTAAATATTATTTCCAAAATTATTCTGATACTTTATATCTGCAAACTAAAAGCTTAAGAAGTACATCAGCTTCCTGGATGACATTGTTGCGGTTGTACAGTACGTGTATAGGGTTTGTTGCCTGATTGATCATTGCAGTCTCCCACTTAGATGAGGCGAAAATATTATTTCCAAAATTATTCTGGCACTTTATATCTGGAAACTACAAGCTTAAGAAGTACATCAGCTTCCTTGTTGACATTGTTGTAGTTGTACAGTACGTGTATAGGGTTTGTTGTCTGATTGATCATTGCAGTCTCCCACTTAGATGAGGCGAAAATATTATTTCCAAAATTATTCTGGCACTTTATATCTGGAAACTACAAGCTTAAGAAGTACATCAGCTTCCTTGTTGACATTGTTGTAGTTGTACAGTACGTGTATAGGGTTTGTTGTCTGATTGATCATTGCAGTCTCCCACTAGATGAGGCGAAAATTTTACTTCCAAAATTATTCTGGCACTTTATATCTGCAAACTAAAAGCTTAAGAAGTACATCAGCTTCCTTGATGACATTGTTGTGGCTGTACAGTACGTGAATAGGGTTTGCTGCCTGATCGATCATTGCAGTCTCCCACTACATGAGACGAAAATTTTACTTCCAAAATTATTCTGGCACTTTATATCTGCAAACTAAAAGCTTAAGAAGTACATCAGCTTCCTTGATGACATTGTTGTGGCTGTACAGTACGTGAATAGGGTTTGCTGCCTGATCGATCATTGCAGTCTCCTACTACATGAGACGAAAATTTTACTTCCAAAATTATTCTGGCACTTTATATCTGCAAACTAAAAGCTTAAGAAGTACATCAGCTTCCTGGATGACATTGTTGCGGCTGTACAGTACGTGAATAGGATTTGCTGCCTGATCGATCATTGCAGTCTCCCACTACATGAGACGAAAATTTTACTTCCAAAATTATTCTGGCACTTTATATCTGCAAACTAAAAGCTTAAGAAGTACATCAGCTTCCTTGATGACATTGTTGTGGCTGTACAGTACGTGAATAGGGTTTGCTGCCTGATCGATCATTGCAGTCTCCTACTACATGAGACGAAAATTTTACTTCCAAAATTATTCTGGCACTTTATATCTGCAAACTAAAAGCTTAAGAAGTACATCAGCTTCCTGGATGACATTGTTGCGGCTGTACAGTACGTGAATAGGGTTTGCTGCCTGATCGATCATTGCAGTCTCCCACTACATGAGACGAAAATTTTACTTCCAAAATTATTCTGGCACTTTATATCTGCAAACTAAAAGCTTAAGAAGTACATCAGCTTCCTGGATGACATTGTTGCGGCTGTACAGTACGTGAATAGGGTTTGCTGCCTGATCGATCATTGCAGTCTCCCACTTAGATGAGGCGTAAATATTATTTCCAAAATTCTTCTGGCACTTTATATCTGCAAACTAAAAGCTAGAGAAGTACATCAGCTTCCTGGATGACATTGTTGCGGTTGTACAGTACGTGAATAGGGTTTGTTGCCTGATTGATCATTGCAGTCTCCCACTAGGTGAGACGAAAATTTTACTTCCAAAATTATTCTGACACTTTATATCTGCAAACTAAAAGCTTAAGAAGTACATCAGCTTCCTGGATGACATTGTTGCGGTTGTACAGTACGTGAATAGGGTTTGCTGCCTGATCGATCATTGCAGTCTCCCACTTAGATGAGGCGAAAAATTATTAATTATTCTGGCACTTTAAATCTGCAAACTAAAAGCTAGAGAAGTACATCAGCTTCCTTGTTGACATTGTTGCGGTTGTACAGTACGTGAATAGGGTTTGCTGCCTGATCGATCATTGCAGTCTCCCACTACATGAGACGAAAATTTTACTTCCAAAATTATTCTGACACTTTATATCTGCAAGCTAAAAGCTTAAGAAGTACATCAGCTTCCTGGATGACATTGTTGTGGTTGTACACTACGTGTATAGGGTTTGTTGCCTGATTGATCATTGCTGTCTCCCACTAGATGATGCGAAAATATTAATTCAAAAATTATTCTGACACTTTATATCTGGAAACTACAAGCTTAAGAAGTACATCAGCTTCCTTGATGACATTGTTGTGGTTGTACAGTACGTGAATAGGGTTTGCTGCCTGATCGATCATTGCAGTCTCCCACTAGATGAGACGAAAATTTTACTTCCAAAATTATTCTGATACTCTATATCTGCAAACTAAAAGCTTAAGAAGTACATCAGCTTCCTGGATGACATTGTTGCGGTTGTACAGTACGTGAATAGGGTTTGCTGCCTGATCGATCATTGCAGTCTCCCACTACATGAGACGAAAATTTTACTTCCAAAATTATTCTGACACTTTATATCTGCAAACTAAAAGCTTAAGAAGTACATCAGCTTCCTGGATGACATTGTTGCGGTTGTACAGTACGTGAATAGGGTTTGCTGCCTGATCGATCATTGCAGTCTCCCACTTAGATGAGGCGTAAATATTATTTCAAAAATTATTCTGGCACTTTATATCTGCAAACTACAAACCTAGGAAGTACATCAGCTTCCTGGATGACGTGAATAGGGTTTGCTGCCTGATCGATCATTGCAGTCTCCCACTTAGATGAGGCGAAAATATTATTTCCAAAATTATTCTGGCACTCTATATCTGCAAACTAGAAGCTTAAGAAGTACATCAGCTTCCTTGATGATATCGTGAAATTAACGGACGATTCCAAAACTAATAAATAACAGGTTTACGGGAATGCAAAAACCAGTACAGATCGCTGCGACTGAACAAAAACAATGATTAATTCTTCTTGAACGATCATCAGGTGGCTAGAGCTCGGATGGATGCCAAAAAACGGCACACCGCGCAGTTGTTAACGGTACATCGTTATTCCTGATAAACGGAATATTTTCGGCTGTGGTGCGCTCGGGTACCAAAGACCTGCAATATGCTGCAGCCTAGACGCCAACAATAAAAATTACAACTACACAAAGAGGGACATATAACCATGCTTGCAGATGAGATCAGTATAACTATATCTCCAAAATTCAACGAATTATCTGCTTTATCTTTCGCCGTGTCTCCTCCTTATTTTTGCAGATGCTTCTTTGCATATACGTTAATTCTAGTCGCCCAAAAAGCTTTGTGGTTGTTCCTTACCGCCAATCCGAATTAGCGGTTGGTCGGAGACGCTGAAGAACCATCGGAAGCGTTCAAATCAGCGTTGAACGAAAGAAAAGCATCACACGAACGGATCTACGATTGCCACAGTTTTAACTGTTGCCAAAGCAAATATTTGTTCTTTTTTGTTATGGGCACTAGTCGACTGTGACGATTGATCTATATTCTAATGCACGGTACATATTAAATATCGTGATGAAGATTGGGCAATGTCTACATATGTACATTTTTTTTATCTATGAAATTTTTATCTGCAAGAGGTTATAGGAAAAGAACACACGGTAGGTGATGTTGAGTCAGTAAAATCGCATATCAATTGAAGACAATAATATAAACATGCATAAGCAATCGACAATATTAAATAAAAACATGAACTTTATTCAAAAATCGAACACTTTTTTAAATTTTGACTAAGTCATATTTAATTTCTTGATATTCAATAAGCTGGTGATGTTTCAATGACAAGCTGTCATCTCATACTTTGACCGTATTTTGTTTTCAACATTTCATAGCTATCGGTTGCGTATATTTGTTGTTTGGAACTTGAAGAGCATTCGCTGTATCCACCCTATAGGTGGAGAATAACGGGCTGTTGATTTGACAATCCTCGTGAAATCCACCCTTAGTTTGAGATACATCATGTGAAAGTGCTCGTAAAAAATAATAACGTAACGTATGTTAAAAAGTGTCAGAAATAAAGTGTAGGTCAGGTACCGGTAAGCAATTGAACAAACAAATTCAACCAGTCAAATATTTCACAACAGTACCATGTGCCCTGAGTACGTGAACGTGACCTCGAAAATTCAAATGTCCTTGCGTGGGTCTCCGTTGGGTCCGCAGCAGTGTTGCCAGATGTGCAGAAATTCCACGGATCTCAAGGATGAACGCTCTGGTTATAAGAAATACGAGGCTTATATCAGGCACAAGGAATTTTTTATCCGATAAAACGGAACGATGATCTTTAAGCTATTTTTCTACATAGAC